AAAGCGGATTCGGACAGTATATTGCATAGAAACAGAGGAGGAAAGTAACAGAGGAAATCCATCTAGTAAGTACGACTGAGACTTGAATGTCCATGATGTTAGCTTGAGCGATGTGATGGACTGCAGAGTGTGACAATAGGACGTCGTTGAACAATACGTATTCAGCATTATTCACACGGGTGATCGGGCTTCTACACATAGAGACGAGTAAATAGATACCAGAGTTCTGACGAGTGAATGAGTACGCGTAAATAATTTATCGTCGCTGACCTAAGTGCACCTTCGACTGCAAGTTCAGATAGACTAGATCGGGGACGATCGTCTCGCCTTGCAAGGCCAAGAGCTAAGAAGGCTTAAATGGAGTCATTGGTAGAAATCACAATGGCGGGGAAGAAGAGATGGCTGCTGTTGTGGGGATAAGACAGTAACCAATGAGGAGCGAGATGATGCAACGCCCTGGTGTCGGAGAAGCGTCCGTCCCCGCGGCTCCGAGCTCGCATCGATAAATTATCAGGAACAGCCAGCCGCCACGGAAGGAGCAGCCAGCCCGCCACCATGTCTCTCGCACGCTTTGGAGGTGCTCTCGCGCGCGCAAGGTGCTCCCCGCGGCCGCAATGGCACGCAGCGTATGTCCCCAAGTCCACCACACGTCCGACTCGCCCGTCTAATTGCTTGCAGACGTGCGCTTTCCAGCTCCGCCATCCGCACCGCCAAAGCCGACAATGAGCTCAATTCGGTCAGCAAGCACATCACCCAGCCCAAGTCGCAGGGCGCCTCGCAGGCTATGCTCTACGCCACCGGCATGAGCGAGACGGACATGAACAAGGCCCAGGTCGGCATCTCGTCCGTCTGGTACTCGGGCAACCCGTGCAACATGCACCTGATGGACCTGAACCACAAGGTCAAGGAGGGCGTTGAGCGGGCCGGACTGCTGGGCATGCAGTTCAACACCATCGGTGTTAGCGACGGCATCTCCATGGGCACAAAAGGCATGCGCTACTCGCTGCAGTCGCGCGAGATCATCGCAGACTCCATCGAGACAGTCATGGGCGGCCAGTGGTACGATGCGAACATCTCCATCCCCGGCTGCGACAAGAACATGCCCGGTGTCATCATGGCTATGGGGCGTGTGAACAGGCCTTCCCTCATGGTTTACGGCGGTACCATCCAGCCCGGTTGCGCGAAGACCCTCGAGAACCAACAGATCGATATCGTTTCCGCTTTCCAAGCATACGGCCAATTCATCACGGGCGAAATCACCGAAGACCAGCGATTCGACATCATTAGGCACGCTTGCAACGGACAGGGTGCTTGCGGAGGAATGTACACAGCAAACACAATGGCTACGGCAATCGAGACAATGGGCATGTCGCTACCTGGCTCTTCGTCGAACCCGGCGAACTCCAAGGCGAAGATGTTGGAGTGCCTTGCAGCGGGTGGTGCCATCAAGAAATTGCTCAAGGAGGACATCCGCCCGAGCGACATTCTTACTCGCGAAGCATTTGAGAACGCCATGGTCGTCATCAGCATCACCGGTGGCTCAACCAACGCTGTTCTTCACTTGATCGCGATCGCTGACTCTGTTGGTCTCAAGCTTACTATTGACGACTTCCAGAGCGTGAGCGACCGCATTCCATTGTTGGCGGATTTGAAGCCTTCCGGAAAGTACGTCATGGCCGACGTTCACGATATCGGTGGTACTCCATCGCTTCTCAAATTCCTGCTTAAGGAAGGTCTTCTTGATGGTAGCCAATTGACTGTGACTGGTAAGACACTCAAGGAGAACTTGGAGAACGTTAGAGATTTCCCCGCCGAGCAGAAGATCATCCGACCGCTCAGCGAACCTCTGAAGTCCTCTGGTCACTTGCAAATCCTGAGAGGATCCCTTGCCCCCGGAGGCTCCGTAGGCAAGATTACTGGCAAGGAGGGCACCCAGTTTACCGGCAAGGCCAAGTGCTACGATGCTGAGGATGACTTCATCACTGCTCTCGAGCGTGGTGAGATCAAGAAGGGCGAGAAGACCGTCGTTGTCATCCGCTACGAAGGTCCCAAGGGCGGCCCCGGTATGCCTGAAATGCTGAAGCCTAGCTCCGCCATCATGGGCGCTGGTCTCGGCAAGGACGTTGCACTCATCACAGACGGCCGCTTCAGTGGTGGTAGCCACGGCTTCTTGATCGGTCACATTGTGCCTGAGGCACAGGAAGGTGGCCCCATTGGCCTGGTTCAGGATGGCGATGAGATCACCATTGACTCCGAGTCCAACGAGCTGAACATCGGCGTCAGCGAGCAAGAACTAGCAGAGAGGCGGAAGAAGTGGACCGCGCCCGCCTTGAAGTACCAGAAGGGTACGCTTTTCAAGTACGCGCGATTTGTCAAGGACGCTAGCCAAGGCTGCGTTACCGACTCTGAGTAATCTTCACGTTTGAACGTCTCTCATGTTTTCATCTGTATGTATATTCTGATGGCTACAGCTGGGGTAAAAGTCACATCCGGAGTTCGGGCGGGCGATATCTGTATATTCGACACAATGCTGTCGATTTAGCTACTCGATCTTCGGCATCCTCGTCATTCATTCTGCTTCGTCCAAGCTGTCGTCACCATATGTCTCGAGCTTGATTTTGCGTCGGCGGTTCAACCTCTTGATCAGCGCTCTGTCCCCCAAGACCTGACAACACTCTTCCACGCGACTCCTTCATCATGGCCCAGAGCAAGCTCTTCAAATCCCTAATAGCATCCCACGTGGCTTTGTCTAAGCCTGTCCCGAACCCTCTGTAGGAACTCCTCACCCAATGCATCAACACCGGTAACGGGTTCAGTGTCACCATGCTCAGAAAAAGAATCCTCCTCAAACTTCAGCCTACACAACTATGCCGGGTGTTGTAAAAGCAACTGCACTGCAAGGTTCGTCATCTTTAAGATATGTCAACATGGCAATGAGTGCTCGAATGTTCCGAGTAGTAGAGGTCGCTGGCAAGCAGCAACAGGTGCAGCGTCTCCTTGATCAGCTCACAATGCCAGCCCTTACTGACCAAAAGCCCCAGTGAAAGCTGACCGCGGTCGTGGAGAGGCTGGATCTAGGGCGATATCGAAGAGCAATAGACGTGATCTTTCTCTACACGAGCTTGGATGCTATGAGAGGGCAATTGCTGTGCAAAGTGGTGAAAAATGTTGTAATGCGTCAAAACATAGAGAAGATACGGAACAAATTGAGGGAGAAGGGAAGGCCATCTAAAGACAAGGGCTGTATAATGAGCTGTTATCTGAGTTTGACAAGGCTGTTGACATCCTGGTACATTTGGTCCCTGATCAGTGATTAAAAGCAAAAACAGACACGGCATAAAGTTCCGATACGAAAAACAATAGAATTTGCGGGATCCTCTCCCGTAAAGTTGCGGCAACTTTAATCCCTGATCCATTCCTTGCCATGTTGTTCTGTGAAGATTGAGTTTCTCTTCCTCATGCCGGTGAGTGTCAAGAGTTTCGGAGAAAGGTGCGGACAGGTAGGCACGTGAACGCATTGACCGCCCTGCGTCGAGAACCACGCCTGGATCGTTTCATCGCACACTTACACCTGCAGCCTCAGCTTCATCATGGCAAACTCCGCAACTTTAATGATTTGTTAAGGGGTCGCGGTGACCCAAGGAAAGGTCCAAGGAAAGGTAATGCAGGGCGAGCAGTGTGACCTGGTTGCGCAGCTCCCGGGAGCATGGATTCCGCGCAAGATAGCTCATTTCTCCCCTGACCCGGTGTTTTGGAGTGTTTGTTGATGATCAGGTGTTCATGTTGGACAGTCAGGTACCTGCGCTGGCCGAGCTTGGATAGCTGACGATCATCGACGAAGACATGGGAGACCGGCGCAAAGCGGCAAGATTGTGCCAACAACGAGGCGAGACCGCGACTGTTCGTTACCGCTATCTTGGTCTGACATGGAAATGCGCTCGCATCGATGACCGGAAAGCTGCAAAGTGGGATATCGGCGAGCTGTGTTGCCGGCCATCGAGATACCTGCCGTTACAGCTCGAACGACAATCAAGAGTGGAGCTGATCTCCCTCGTTCCGTTAGCCGTGTCGATCATCGCGTCCGCTTTGGGCTGCCCTCGACGCGCTAGACAGAACTTGCCGATGACGCTGAACCATATGTTCCGAAAACGCAAGATCGACGTCTTGGTATGTAAGTCCTCGGAAGTGCAGATCGTCAGGGGAGCCAGCCATACATGCAAGCCTAGGGTCACAGAAGACTCGGTGGGTCAAGACAGATGTATCGTGAGCCTCACCACCTCGCAGATGGCCAGCAAGACGAGGCGAGTCCCTAACGAGACAGCAATCTGAGCACAATCACCGCGGACTTCCGCAGTGTCTGACCGCCTACAGATTCTCGCCCCAATTTCGAGTCCCCCACGAAAACTAAGACGTGTCTTTGACATCTGTTGCGCAACCTAACTTACTCAAGCCCATGAGTAGCGTTCCGGAAGCTTGAAGGCCGGGATCTACCTCGAGATACGCGCTAAGGATGAGGGTCTAGTCTCATTATCCCTTAGCATGCGTGGGCCATACCCCAGAGGATCAAATCTTACTCCTCAGCTAGGCTAACAAGCTTCAGAGCGGTCTACGTGCAAGAGGCTCATCGGCAACGGCAGTATCGGCGATGCTTTCATGAAGATCGCCAATGCGTGCGCCATGACTAGGCAAGCTGTAGCTCTAGTCTTCTCATCATGGTATGGCTTGGTGTAGGATCTCTCCACCCCGGTGACGATTGCGGCTTGTCTTGGGCCTGAGCGTCTAGGAGAGTATCGATTGACTAGACGTGCTGACTCGGTGTATCAGAAAGTACCTGGGTGCTTTGAGGGCATATAAACCATACTGCAGTCCACCTACAATCATCATCCAGCTCACCTACCACACTCTTTCAGTTCTTTGCCAATCGCTCAGTTCGCTTTAGACTAATAATACTTATCCCTCTTAATATCCACCAACCCACCAACAAAACTCCAACCGCCAACATGCGTTCCTCCATCGCCGTTAGCATCATTGCTCTCTCCACCTCGGTCCTCGCAGCCCCTACTCCTCAGGTTGCTGGCGTCTCCAACCTTCTTGGTTCCGTCACCAGCACCCTCGGCTCTGTCACCAACCCCGGTGCCGGCAACGACAACCTCATCCAGGGCAACGGCAACAGCAACGGCCAGAACAACGGCAACGGAAACACTGCTGGCAATGGCAATGGCAACAACAACGAGGCTGGTAACGGCAACTCTGCTGCCAGCGGCAACAGCTTCAACCTCAAGCCCCTCGGCAGCAGCATCCTGAACAACGGAAAGCGTGCTCTTCTTGACAACCTCAATGGCGTCCCGGTTGCTGGAACCATCGTCAGTGGCGTCACTGACGGCAAGGGTGGTCTCCTTAACGGTGTCACTGTTGGCCCTACCACCGATGGCCTGACCAACGGCATTCCTGTTGTCAATGGCCTCGTTGGCCGTGGTGTTACCGACAACCTTGACATCAGCCAGCTGAGCCAGACCCAGCTCATCTCCCTCCTCAGCCAGGTCACTGGCGCCCTCCAGGGTACTGGCAACACTGCCACTGGCACTCTCAAGCCGGTCACCGACGCCACCGCCCCTGTGACCGATGCTGTCAAGCCTGTCGCAGGCGCTACTGGCGATGTCTTGAAGCGTCAGTTGAACCTTGGTGGTGTTACTGGCACTGCCGGCGGCCTTGTTGGCGGCGTCACTGGCGTCACTGGCTCCGCTACTGGTGCTCTCAAGCCCGTTACTGGCCAGCTTCAGCCTGTCACTGGTGCTCTTAAGCCCGTCACCGGTGCCACCGGAGGCCTCACTGGAGATCTTCTCAAGCGTCAGTTGAACCTTGGTGGTGTCACCGGCACTGTTAACGGCCTCGTTGGTGGTGTTACTGGCTCCACTGGCTCTGTCACTGGTACCCTCAAGCCCGTCACTGGCCAGCTTAAGCCCGTCACTGGTGCTCTCAAGCCCGTCACCGGTACCCTCCAGCCTGTCACCGGTACCGTCACTGGCGCTACTGGAGGCCTCACTGGCGATGTCCTCAAGCGCCAGGTCGACCTCAACAGCGTTACTGGCACCGTCAGCGGCCTTGTCGGTGGCATCACCACCACTGCTGGCTCTGTCACCGGCGCCTCTGCAGGCAGCGGAAACTCGCTCCTCAACAACGGCAACAACAACGGCCAAGGCAATGGCGTAAGTCTCCTTCCAACACCCCCCTATCTCGAGTGTCAGCTAACATCACCCTTCACAGAACAACAACCAAGCCGGTAACGGTAACGGCAACGGAAACAGCGCTGGAAACGGCAACCAAGCCGCCAGCGGCAACGACTTCAACGTAAGTCCCGAAACCGAGCTTCCTGAGATCAACGGCCCGCTCGTCGAGCTGCCTGACCTCAACATCGCTCCCACGATCAAGTCAGTCTAGTCTAGATCATTGGGTAGTAGCTAGAGTTTCACAACATGTGCTAACGGTCTCTTACAGCTTTAAGTGAAGGCGACTATGAATTGAGTGCGATATACTCGGGACGATTTTCCTTTCTACAATGACGATGGCATACCCTGGTTTGCTGGATCTCTATACATATTTAGTAGTAGTACCAATGTACTGTTTTGGCCACCGAAAAGCCTGCATTTCTTCTAATCGTTCCATGCGTGATGGCTCAGTAATAGAAGTTCCCAACAGCTTTACACACCTTCAGTCAACAACAGAGGCCACAGTCCTACGATTCGCCATCTTCATGCTTACACCTCCATCCCCATGTCTACTTCCGTGTCGCGTACCTGAAGCTGTCCTGTCTATTCGCTATTAGCAATGTGTTGAATAACTGTTATCACGAGATCTACAAATAATGAAAGCTTTGTTTGGCCAACTTGTATCAGCATTGACAGCAGCAGTAACATCACGCCAGTCGTGCATGGGCACACTTATCGAAAGCAATGTCCTGTATAGCCCTTCACACAGGGTAGGAATTGATGAAGATAATTAACGTCATTAGGTAGTACTTGCTCCTCTCGTGCTCCCAAAACACCGTACGCATAAGAATTATTTTGCGACGTCATTAATGACCACCAGTAGTGGGTAGCTAAAAGGCAATTAGCACAAAGTCGTTGTACGTGTCGAGCTGAACAACTTACGCCGAGGTAGACCTTGAAGGAATCGTAGATGAGCCATTGGAACGCAGTCAAAGTACCAATCATGAATATACGAACAGGCAGTCCGTTCCAAAGGCCGCCAAAACCGATCTTGCCGTATATCCTGCCGATAGCCTGACCAGCGCCCTCGCCAGCCTTTCGGTCGCTGTTGAGCTTTGAGACCATCACGTCTACTATATGTTAGCTCATTTCCGCGATTCGAGAGTTTTTACGCAATGTTCTCAACGTACCTGCGGGATGAGAGACGACTGCACATCCGACACCAGCAATATATCCACCGAGAAAGCTTACACCGGTTTGCTGCAAGGCCCCGTATGACTCCTTTGGCTTACCCAAGAAGCCGTAGATTTGCTTGACTGTCTCTTCGAATGTCGCGAACTTGACCATGGTGTACGGGATTTGACGCGCCCACAGTGGGTACAAGCCCTTGTACAGGCCACCAACACCCTCCTCCTTGATCACCTTCGACCAGCCTTCTCTCAGTGTGTTCGCGAACGGTGGCATGGTAGTCTGCATGCGGACCTTGATTGCTTCCATAGGACATAGCGCGATGTCGGCGAGGAACTCGGCGGAAGCGGAGGCAGCTAGGTATACGACTGTTTGCGGCGCGCCGGGTGCCAGCTTTTCGCCGTAGAGGTATTTGAATACCTCGTAGAATCCGTACTTTCCAGCACCTTGCATGGAGTAGCCGATAAAGGTTGGTGTCCAGCCGAAGAATACGCCCCGTAGACCTTCTTTGGAGTAAATCATTTTCCAGGCTTGTGAGTTGGACTTGTAGAGGTTGGAATCGACTTGACGGCGGCATTTCACCTGGAAAACATTAATTAGCAACCGGAAGCTTAATTGACAGCCTGTCAAGTCCCCAAGCCATCATTCGTTCTCTGCAAAAGTATGCGACTTACCAGATCTAGCGGCGTGACCATAGTGTGTGTAGGTCCACAAGCGATAATACCACCCATCGTACACGCCGCAAAGTACGAGCCTGAGAAGAGCTCGATCTTCCTTTGTGGCTTCATCGCGTCCAATTTGTTGGCCATTGTGAGTGATTACCGAATTCCAATCGCTTCAATCGCGTTTATGGCTTTGATTTCGCGTGCGGTATGGTAGCTATCGTCGTGTCGGCGCCGGTTGACTGGTATAATCGTTGTCGCGTGCTGCTTCCCAGGATGCTGTCGCAAGCGAAGCAGAGATTGAGGATTTGTACAAAGGATAGACGAACGCTGATTAGAAGAGAGAACGGGAGATCGGATTAGACTACAAAAGCCGACCGGGGCGCCTTGTTATGACCGCACAGCTCCAGGGCTTGGATAGTTGGAAAGCTTGTCCGCAGCTTCCGCAATTACCTCGCTATGACGTCGCTGTTGCAGGTGGGACGCGCGACCACCGCGCTGACGAAGCTTAGCGTGATGCTTATCGATACATGAACCCCCGACCCTCCGCGAACTGTCGGATCTCGCTACCAACAGCGCAATGAAAAGTCCCGTTCTGCTATGTTGGATGTCAATTAGCTTTGCGACAAATGCGGGGGGAGAGAAAATATTCCAAATTTCTTCACGTTGACTTCGTACGAAGTAAGGTCCGCGACTTACTCGACTGCTCGGGCAGCTTCACGCTGGAGAAACAAGATGCTATTATATGCGTGATAATCATTATTATTTGCTGTGTCGTGAAGAGGCTGAAGGTCGTCAAGCGTGATCGTCATACCTGGTCTTTAATATACAGACTCCCCCCGTCTAAGTACGCCAAAGCACCACGCTATGCCGCCCAAGCATAAACAATAAAGCAAAGAATGATGAAGAACCGAAGCCAAAACGCCAATGCCAGGGTGCATCACCTGCAGTCCACATGAAGCATCAATCCCTATCAATGACTCCGTCGAAGACCCGGAATCTGCAGGGCTCAAAAACCGTCTGCATATGCTCTCATGCTCTCATGAAACCCATGATTCAATCCCCACCACCCTGAAATCTCGTTGAAATCGTGATTCGCTCATCTGGTAACAATGCGAGCCTCAACTCTTCGCTGAAGGGCCGCTGCTGGCGCCGCCATACCACAAAGAAGCGAAGATAATGAGCGGATGGAGCTGGGTAAAATGCGGGCGAACGGAAGGCCACCCAACAATTACATGTTGTTATCGTGTATGTTGTCAGTCTCTGAATCACTACCAAAGTCGGAATGATCATAGAGATCTTCCGCTGATAGGCCATCGTCCTGTGGCCATGTCTCTAGCCTTGGCTCTATCTCTCCAGTCCAGTGTGCAATTCGAGAGCTGTCGTTGGTGTCGTCTCTGTATGGATCCAATTCGGGATCCTCGCTATGGATCAGATCGTAGAGCTGCTGAACGAAAAATCGGCAAGTTTCGATGAGAGGAGATAGATAAGGTTTGAGCATGCCGTGATCCTTCTCGTACAGAATGCGCTCCATCATCTCGGTGGCCATCTCGCGGAGTACTCTCCACCTCATTTGCACCAGATCTAGAGGCCATCCTTCGTAGCTCTTGTATAGCTCGCAGACCAGCATATGTGCACCTTTTCGCACACTGTCTTGTGCGTGTAGCAGCAAAGGAGTGGCCCATATGCGGCTTTTCGCGATGATCCATGTAAAAAATATGTGTCGGTGCTTTTGTTGAAAGATGGCCGCATTCTTTGTTTGCAGAAGACCGCCAACAAAATCCAGAACCGCCAAGCCTCCTGGTACATGGTCATCGTCCATTCTACTGGCTGACGCGACCGCCTTCGAAACCGTTGTCACGATCTTGTAAACGTTGTCCACCATCGGAGAGCTCTCGCAATACGAGAGTGCCGCTTTCACGTAAGAATCGCAGAAAGGGGCTTCGAGGGAGACACCCTCGTAGATGCTCTTCAAAAGATTAGTCTGGACTTGTGGGTCCTGCCAATTGAGCATCGATTTGACAATATCGCCCGGGTGGAAGTGTTCCAACTTTGTCTCATCGAACATTTCCAAGGCCTTGTCTAGAACCGCGATCGCCTTCAGGTCGCTGTCCCAGTGGTACAGAACTTGTCGTTCATGGAATGTTAGTGGAAACCTCGAGGTCTCCCGATCCAGCGTAGACAGACGATCGTGCTCGTGGCGAAGAGGTTGCAGACTCGTGTTCATGCGTGAGAGCAACGCTGATACGAATCCAATGAATCTGTTGTAGATACCCGACTTCTTGCTTATGATTCTCCAGAGATCGGGTTGGTCGTCCTGGAATCTAGCGTACGAGTGCATGCAGAGTAGCCTCAAGCAGAATACCAGGAAGCCATGGTCCAATAGAAGACCGGTTTCCAGATGGCCCATCTCGGCAAGTTGAGTCAGCGTGAGATAGAAATCATCCCAGCCCCGTACGGCCATGTAAGATTCGTCTGCAATGGCACGTAACCTAGCGGTAATCTCTGAAAGTATACCGTTTGTCGGAGTGGAAGATTCCAGATCCATCTCGTTGTCAGCGCCCTCTAGACCGTACAGAGCGGGCTCTTTCTCTCGCAAGACTTTGAGACAGTCAATGAAAAAGCTGCGCATCTGGGACCGCACTTTAGCATGCATGCAGCGAAGAAGCATGTTGAGAAGGGCAATATCGTCGGTAGCGAGTATCTTGAGAACGATATTGCAGCAGGTTGAGCATGGAAGGACCGACCGCCGCAGCTGCAGTATCGTCTCGGAGAAGATATCGGCATTTGTATGACGCCAGACGATGTGCCCTAGATGCGCAAGTACTATCTGCAAGGAGTGCTTTTCCTGTAGGAAGTTAGCGTCTCGGACTTAGTAGGTTGAAGATAACATGGCGTACCTGCGTGTGGCCTTCGGAGCAAGAACCGTGGTTAAGTGTACGTGACATAGCATGCAGCTGCCGCACGAACCTTGTATGATTGGGGTCGAAGCGGGAATATTCTCGGATAAACAGCTCGTTGGCAGAATCAACTTCCTTCTGGAGAGTTGGCGGCATGGGAACCTTGAGCGTTTTCCCGTCTGCAGAAGTGACCCACTCACGCTGGTCATCATCCACAGCGGTGCGGCGTTGATAGAAGAGCATATATGCCGAGTATTGTTTTGGTATGCGGTTGTATGAATCGTCCGTGAAGCCTCCGAAAGCTTTGTAAGCAATGTCTGCTGGGTCGAAAGACCCAACACTGCTATCATCAAATTCCACCCAGGTTTGTGCCGTGGTTCCTGTGGGACAAGGTCGCTCACGAATGTAAGAATAGTAATGACCGTGCTCGCAGGTGCCCGTGTGTACGAGCACACCAACAAGATCGAACATA